TGGACAAAAATTCATATGTCAACTTTACAATTATTATTCAAAACGTTGTCTACCTAGGTAAAAATAGTCGTACTGTTATGTAAATTTATATATTAATTTGTCACTTATTTTGATGTTCTTGACAAGGGAAGTATTGCAGTGTCTCTGTAGCCGCAGGATACTCAGTGGATGATAAGCCATGAATTAGGCAATGTGGCATAATTACGGTAAGTTTAGAGCGCAAGAAATTTTCTTTTTTGCCGTTTGGAAAACAGTAGATATTTTCTCTCAAACAAGAAGGCACCGTAAGGAAGCAGGTTTGAAAACAACTGTAGAATTTCCATGTGACTCTTTATAATTTGTTAATAGAACTTCACATCTTGATGATGTTAATGCCATTACTTAAGAAGGTTGTTGTCAAACTCCCTCACAAGAAAATTAGAATTGTAAATCTATGAATGTGTATTTTAAATGTTATATGCACAAAGTTTAAATGTGCAGTTGCAAAATCGAAAGCTAGGTGTCCTACACCAGTTTAAACAACGGATCTATACCTAACTCGCGCATTTTACGATAGTATCTCAAATATCATAATTGATGGTTTTGATGTTGTAGTAATAACAACGCGTTGAACTTGTTATTCTCAGGGTATTTTGATAGAAAACATGCATCCTCTTCTCGGAAAAGCTCTGTTACGCGTTGTACTCTTCTACGGATACGGTTTGCTGGTTGCCTGGATTTTCACACTGATTGAAAGTCAAGAGGAGACAAGACAACTCAAAATGAAAAGAATCTTTCAGGAACTGAGAACGGAAATTACTCTTAAATATAAGGTCAATATGTCAGATATAGACTTTGAGAGTTTTGTAAGAAAAGCATCCACAGGGGTGACAGCTGGAGAGGAACTTGACTGGACTTTCCTGAACAGTTGCGCCTACGTTTTTGCAGCTCTTACGACAATAGGTAAGTTATACAGTTAGAATTCGAACTTGACCTCTTTACTAGCCAGCCTCTCATATTTGGTAAAGGCTGCCATAAGGGTAATTCAGCCTTGGACTCATTACAGAGAAAACAAATTGCTATCATTACGTATACCAAATTAATCCTGAAACGGTCTTTGTGGCAACCTCATATCATGCATTTTTTTAATTATTATATTACCCTAAATTTCCAAAATAAACAAGGGCTGTCAAGGTGTTGAACATTTACTTTCAAACTTTTTTGGGAGTTTCACAATATAATTGCGTACATTCTTTAGCCATAGAGTACTTGGTTAAGAATCTACTCAGCCTGATTTCTTAAAAGTTGTAGAGAAGACCATTTAAGGCTGTCGTATAAAATCATGGTTTTTCTACATTACGCGGTTCGCCCTTTCTTTAAAGGTATTCCTTGTCTATTCAATGTTGGCATGATATTTATTATTCCATCTGTTAGGTTACGGACATATCACGCCTAAGACATCCCTTGGGCAAGGAGTAACCATCATCACCTGCCTGCTTGGTATTCCTATCGCTATGTTGGCATTTAAAACATTGGGAGAGCTGTGCGCAACGTTCTTTACGTTTCTTGTAATCAAGACAGAGACCATTGCACTCAGAAGGACTGAACTGAAACACTTGAAAAAGAAAACGTTTTTTGTGGCATGCTTACTTTTGATTGTTTTGATAACACTGGCTAGCGTTTCAACAATTTTTCTCGAACATTGGACCTTCATGGAAGGCTTGTACGCGTGGTTTACAACGTTCACCACGATTGGTTTCGGAGACTACGTGCTGTTTAGATCGTATTCCATAAAGTTAGCTCAGGGAGATATCTCCACAACGAGTTTATTGCTTAAAGGCCTAACCTTTGCTGTACCATATGTCGTTGGTATCAGCCTCATGTCATGTATTTTGACCTGTCTTGTGGACTCTGTGGATCAAATTCGCCATTTTCGTGATCGTTGCTGGAGTTGCTGTCCAAGTTTGATTTTCCATGTAAAACGCATCCTCTGTCATAATGTTTCGCAAAGTGATATATCTGAAGGACGAAATCATGAAGAAAATGAATCACGCCATGTGTAACACAATTTCCGCCCTCATTAACTCTTTATTACCAATCAAAAACTTCTTTCTTTGGTGATCATTTCTTTTATTCTCATGACCTTAGCGTGTAATTCAGGGATGACATTGTAGAGATAAAAACAGTATATTATTAAGTTTACTCCTTGTGTCGAAAATTCCATAATCAAGTAAAGGTGCTTACCAATAAACAAAATAAAATCACTTGAAATTAGCCAAGAAAACAAATGAAAAAAACAACCCAGGAGGTTGCGAAAGGTAAGGGTAGATGTATACAACAAAGACCCCTAATGGAATTATTTGTGGCATTCAAAGGCATTTAGATGGTGTTACGAGTGTCGATGTAGAGCAGGGTTGTTCCTAGACAAAACTCAGGATCGTCGGTAACAACAACAAACTGTTTTTTTCCGCGTAGTTGACTTCTTGTTTTTATAGCACTAAGCTTCTTCGCTCTTATATACATAAAGTATAAGGATCTAGAAACTTCTCTAAAGAACTAAATTCAGTAGATTAACACGGTTTCTAAATTTGAACAATTACGTAAGCGTTCCATTCAAAAGGCATTTAGATGACTTAGAACTGTGTTCTGGAAACAATTTTTCGTAACAGATGGAACTGTGGGAAACAGAGTTGTAAATCCTTTAGATGCTTTGGATAAAGAGTAATAGAGGAGACATTATTTTATATATTCAGTGCAACATACTATTGTCGAAGACGACTACATTAGGAAAATTAATCTTTTTTAATCTTCCTATATTTTATTGTAGATTTGTCATTTTCCGTCGTTGTCTTGATGCAGAGATAAAGGATAGCACCCGGCTAGATTTGAATTTGCAAATAAAGAAAGAAGATAAGGAAGCTGTTAGTGCGTAACAGTGTAAAAGCGTAATTCTACTCTGTTACTCTTACAAGTTACCATACTTCAGATATCAATGCGACCACGAAACAATGTAATTTGGCATTGGGTTTTTCCAAGAGGTCATTTCGAGCATTTGTCTATTCTATTTGAGATTTTCCCATGAATGCCTACGACTGGAAAATTTATTGAGATTTTTTTCTTAGCTTTGCTTTGTTTGTTAATTTTATGCCTTCTTAGGCAAACCGGTTGTACAGAATGTCAGGCGACCGATCCCTATGTCATCGACAGCGATACGACTCACCTTTGTAGCTACATTTCTTCTCAAATTCATTACAAAGAACGTTTCCCTTCAACCATTTCTGTTTTTTTCCCTACCCAGACCTATTTAACATTACATTATGCCCTGTCAGCCCTGTGCTCAAGCTGCGCTCCTTTCGTTGGTCGTGACCGAATGCGAAATATATTCCCAGCCAGCCCCACCCTCAATAAGAACATAATTATGATGTTAGCGATTGAGAGTAACACGTAACGCCTGCATTTCAGTTGATTTTATCTGCCTTCACAATTGCAAGATCATCATTCACTTTAAATAAAATCCCGGAATACATTTAAACTTGAAAATAATTACTGTTATCGTTCAGAAACGATTTTCGAGACCTTTTCAGTACGCCTTGTTTAGAGTGATCTCTTTATTTATACCAGATTTTATTACACTTAAGTAAAGTAATCACTAAAATAATCCAAATTTGCTTTGGTGTTGCTTATCTTTGCTCTGTGATTAGTCTGAACCAATCACAGAGCAAAGAGATTGCTGTTGTATATAGTTAATTATTCTATATCGTATAACTCAGGGCGGGGATGGTGAGAACGTTCGCCTTCCACCGTTGTGGCCCGGGTTCGAATTCCGTACCTAAAGTCACATACTGTTAAATTATCGCTATTTATTGGTATTTTTCAATATTATGGCTATTATTATACAGTAATTCCAGTGATCTTACATATAGTCAATAACTGGAAAGTTCACGGACTTAAATCCGTGCCATGAGCATTTTCAATATATTCACGATCAGAGATAAATTCTTAGCCATTTGATAATCCTCTACGAGCAAAGTCTAATTTGGATCGGCTTAGGCCGATCGGATGGCGTTTGACAATATTGTTATTGCTATTATAGTTTCCATAGTGACTGTTATTAACATTGTTATCGTTGTTATCACTATTATCATCGTTTACTCTCCCTTTGTTTGGACCACGACTTCATCTCCAGTCATTAACCTCTTCCCTAGTCATCTATGAATGCGTCTCTAGCGAAATCTCTGACTTACAGTGCAAGGTCAAATTTAGCATAGAATGTAGGTCTAACTTTCAGGAGTTAGGCATATTCATCCCTTTAAATCTTAAGCAGTCAGAATTACTACGGTAAGGGAAACGTCGATTAACAAATAAACTGAACATTTCCAAAAGTATTTTTTAAGGATGGTTGGATGTGTATACCTTCTTTTGCTGCGCCAGACTTCAACTTCAGCTTAACGCATCTGGCGTTAAGTTCCTAATGGATACTGAAAGATTCGTTGACGGGGCTTCTGTCCTCAGACCATGCATGGATAGCTCGTTGACTTCACGATGCTGTTTTGCAGATGATGGCTGAGTTATTGATCCCCTTATTGAATCTTTTGGTTAAAAACGTTCTCGTTGCCGTCTCCGTCTTTGTTTACTTCATTTCTCTTTCTTAGTCAATTTTCAGAAAATTTGATAGAACCATAATCCCTTCTATTATTCAGCCACCAACTTCTGAATTACTCGTTAGGGTGACGAGGAGGGAAAAAATTGATTCAATGTATATGAACATTCAACCTCCGACCCCCATCCTAAGAATTATTTAATGCGCGTAATAAGTTAGGTTGTTATCTGAGAAAGCGCATTTCGTTGTTCAATTCAATTGTCATGAAAAACGAGAAATCACATGATGGCCGTTGCTATTGGCTAAAATAATCCACTCGTGCGGATGATCGTGGTAAGATTAGTAATTATTGGAAGGTCAGGGGGTTAAAATTTAATATCATGGGTACGAGATTAATTCAAAAACTTTTTTGGCGATTCCACTAATTCCAGGCAGAAATTACTTGATTTTGGCACTCAACCTGATTTTCCTTCTTGCAGCAGAGCTTGTGTCTTATGCTTGAGTGTAAGTGTACGCAGCTATCTATACAGCCATCACGAAAGTGGCGAATCTGATCCATGGAATCCACAATGCAACCCAGAATACATGACATACAACTCAGGCCAATCATGGTTGGAAGGTACAGTACGCAGATGTATATCACAAGATGAACTGTATTGTCTATCCCTCGTCCCATGCCCCTTAGAAGCGCTTCACAATGGACGTAGTCGCCGAATCCAATTGTGGTGAAAGTGGCAAACCACGCATAGAAGCTCTCCACATAATTCCACTTTTCCATGAAAGCGCCTGTGAAACTTGTAAAGATATACAAAGCAAACATAAGGGTGCATGATGCCACGAGTTTTTTTATCTTTAGATTCATTACCTCTTCCCTTTTAAGCAGATTATTTTCTATCTTTATGACGAGATGGCGAATAGAAGAAGCAAAAAGCTCTCCTGAAGTTTTAAAGGCCAACATGGTGATGAGAATACCAAGGAGGCACACAGGAATTGTGATACCTTTGCCAAGCTCTGTTTTAGGTGTTATGATACCATATCCTGAAATAAAAAGAATGAATAATTTTTGCTCCACTCCACATTACTTTACATTTAAGATTTTTACAGAGGTTAGAAGGAAATCCCAAGAAAACTCAGGGGCGAAAACCAAAAACAAAGCAAAACAAAAACAAAAACAAACGAAAATACAAACAGATAAGGTCCCCTTAACGGTTAGAACTTACAATAAAAAAGAAGTGGATATACTCATTGCCCAAATAGACAAGCGTTAATTAACATTGTACACGGCATGAAGTGATCTTTTTCTCTTACCTATTGTGGTGAAAGTGGTCAAGGCGAATGTGAGGCTGTTAAGCAAAGTCCAGTCCAGTTCATCACCCTCAATCACAGCCTCAGCTGCACGATTTACAAAACTATTAAAGTCGTCATCGGTTATATTATATTTCTTATTCATATCATTCTTGAGTTTACTCAGCGACTCCTCCATTCTTTTGAAAGCAGGTTCATCTCTTTTTTCAATCATGGTGAAAATCCAAGCAATTAGAATGGCGTACGCGTGGAGGAATCCAAAACGCAGTAATGATTTCTTTAGAAGTGGATGCATATTTCTTCAAAGGGAAACGAGAACATCAAATTAAATCTTTGCTTGAACAATTACAAAGAGCCCGATCCAAAATAACAACAATGATAACAACAAAGAGGAGGTATGAATGGGCAAAGTTAATCTTAACTGCTATTCTTAGCTTTGTTGGTCCTGTTTTACTTCTCCTGACGATCACCGCGAGAGCATGTGTTAGATATGACATGCTTTCACAGCCAACGAGGCGCGTAGCGCAGAGTGAGCCTAACTAGTCTCATATTACGAAAGCGCGAATGGACCTCAGTTTTATTCGAGAGCTTTGAATCTTACTGGCTAAGTGAAGTTCGGCAGGTTGACTTCGTATGGCTTGGTTCCATGGGAATATATGCATGTAAACTGCACCCGTTAGATGTAGTTATTGAACGAAATGAGTGACTAAAAATTAGAACTATGAGCAACGACACCATTCGATGTTCGTAGGTTTAAATATGCACTGGATTTTGTGAAGTCGAGATTAATCCATGATTAATACTACTTTCGGTACAAATCACACAGTGAACTAGAAAAATTTCTTATTATTTTTGTCGATAAACTGTGAAGTGGACGAAAGTTAAATTCCTATCGCCCGTTTTTGTCTCTTCGGCTGCTCGGTGGTGAATAGTATTTGCTAATGACTTACCAACAGCACACTCGAAAAACATTATTCACTTGTGTGGTATATACTAATGTTAGATACCCGTAAATTAGTTAGTAAGCTACTGCAAACCTTGAAACAGTTGGGTGTGCAAGCCGTTTCAGAGTCACATCAATTATTCATTAGTATTTTAACTTTTGTAATCGATGGTGTACAAATTTCTTGCCTTAAGAACCTTTACATAGGTTAAATTGTGATGTAATTTGTGCGAATTTCGTATTTTGACTTTGCTAGAACAAATTAACAAAACGAGAATTCTCTACTTGAGCGTGAGAGTTCCCAAAAAATAAAATGGCTTTTTCACCGAATAAAGTAATCAGTTATACCAATACACTTTAGAGTGCTAGCAAGTGTGGAAAGCAATAACTTCCCATTGCTTGAGTTGAAATAAGTTATTGAATTATTAAGGATGTTTTTTTTAAATCTTACCTCGTTGATTTCTTGCTGGAGCGACTTTACCGACGTAACATGCGTGGCATAGTCCGCTTTTTTTTACAGTAATAACCTCTCTGTTTCTTCCAAAACATTTTAAATTTACTCTGAGCCCATTAATGATTTATAATTTTTTTTAATTCAAATGCCTGGCTTGTCATTTAAAAATACGTTTGCTTTTTATTTTCTGTCAAGGCGACAACAATTGATGAAATCTTATTGAAAGTCAATTCACCAGCTGAATCTATAATGCCGAGCCAGTGATTAGATGCTGTCTATTGTTTGGAAGGAATGAAAGAAAAAGTTTTTTTTTAAATAAAATTGCAATTTAGGAGAATCACGAATAATTTTTTTCCAATATAGAATGACTTACCCCATCTGAAAGAGTATTCATTCCTGGGGAATATGAACTATCCATGCACTATGAGAGGTTAGAAATGGATGGATGGCCTGAAAAAAAGTAAAAAATTACATCAACATTAATTTTTGTAGCTCATCATAATAACAACTTTCATATTTGTGATTTAGGGAATGAGGCGCCGAAAACAAACAATCAACCATTGCATTTTATTCACAGCTGAAAGTCACCCGTAGATGGGAGTTGCTTCAAACAAAACACCTCTGTGTGAATCATTTTCTTCAGATATTTCATATTGTTAGCGACTCCCCAAGATTAATCTTTCTGTTTTTGCCTTTGCTTTGTTTTCGTTTTTAACAGTCCCTTCAATTTCTGTTTTGCTTCTCGAATCAACTGTTTTTCCTGAAGATATTGTTTTCTGCGTCGAATGACAACAGCAATTTAGTCGTTTTCCTACGCCGTCGACACTTATATCCATTCAAAACCCAATAATTCAAAGCCTATTTCTGCGAAATACTGAAAGACTATATTATTATCCTGAAATATTTAAGATTTGTCTCAAGGATTAAGCCAGAAGAAAATTATAATCGACTGAAAGTGACAAAGGATACAAATCTTGATGATCCTATTCGAGGTCCATTTCCTCTGGCGAAGTCCAGTGCTTAACTTTTGGGTAAAACAAGGAAAATCTTTTATTCAAATTTCTCTAAAAGTAAAATTCTCTGCGGGTTGGTCTTCACTTTTCATAGGGGCAATTTGCAAGCAAAGCTGAAAAATCAGATATTGCATGTTTTCGCGACGTTTACATCTTACATTTTCTTATTAACAAAAGTTTCCGACAAATGAAAGCTGCATGGCTTTGAAAAATGTTCGGAGTAATATCCCGAAGAGAATTATCGTTTCTGACAACCATCTTTAAAAAAAAAAACTGATCAGCTCTCACGGAGAACTACTCGACGTAAATTGCGTGCATATCATCCACATACCGAATGCTGCTCCTCTGTCAGAGGAATTTGAGAAAATCCTCCGAGGATACACAGCTGCGTGTCATTTGCAACAAGTTAAAGTTTGGAGAAATTCAGATAAAGATTTTCCCTGTTTTATCCTTCATTAAAAGTGACCGAAACTGTACCGAGATAAATAATGGATGAGTGTGTTCGCATTCATTCTCAGCAAAAATGGAATGCACCATAGTAAAGATGAATAATGTCACTATTTATGGTAAAAGTATGAATTTTTTAATGTTGTATTGAGCTTGAGATTTTTTTAGCGATGTTTTTGTGTGGAAAAAGGCCACAGGCCGCGAACAAGCAGCCCTAGTTATCAAGGAAACAAGAGTGCTGCAACCTCCCTGAGTGCTTAACTGCTTGCAAAATTTGAATGGGGGTTTAAAACTTTCATTTCCCGAGAGGTTTGACTCTTACAGAGGCTAGTTCTTAATGAGCATAATGACAACAACAAAAAAGGAAAACGTCTGCTTATCCAGTGATGACCTTTAAGTTATCCGTTTGAATTGAAGGTTTTATCAAAGCTGATAAAGAATCATTCTTTTTACCATTTTTGACTAATTTATTTCACTCGGGAGGCAGTGAATCCATTAATGCAACAGGGCGCCAACACGCTGAAAGTTTTCGCTTATAGCTTTCAACTTCAGTAGAGGCGATAGGGAAACGATTTTGAGAGAGTCCCATTTGCAACATATTGAGAGATAGTTTGCCTTCTTTCTTTTTTTAGCTTTCCTCGTCCTTTATTTCTAATATCAGAAGTTTTCAGCTTCTCCTTGGATCATTTTTCTTGTTTATCGACTTGCTCTATGATATTTACACAATTCTAAAATGTCATTATTCAAACTAGTTAAATTAAATAAGATAAATTAGATTGATTTATTTCCACCCACTTTGCATCATAAAAAAATGATCTCATACACTTTAACTTATGACAGCCAAAACTAAAAAAAAAAAAACACTTTTCCAACCCTATTTCGACCCTATTTAATCATTTAGTTTCAAACCCTGCAAGATTTGAGCATGTCTAATTTAAAATAAGTTCTCTAAATATCTGTCACTAGCTTTACTTAAAACATTATTTAACTAAATCAGTTTTCAATTAAATCAGAAATAACTGATTCTGAATAGTTCCATGAAAAAGACTAATATTTGTAATCCTTTGTCAATTTATAAGTGCGCATCAGAACTTAAGAGTGCTTTTCTCTTCAACAGTCAATCTTCTGGCACTTCTGGACTCTCTACTGGTGAGTGTGTTTAAGTTCTTTCTTTGTAAAGTTCGTGGATGACGAGAACCTGCCGATTTAGAAAAGATGGATAAATAAGGAAAATGATATATTAGTCAATTCACCATTTCCTTTTTTAATTCTGGAAAAAATGAGGAAAAAGGAAGAAATTAGGGATGGTTAGAAAATGGTTTAAAACTGCGAGAGGAAAGTCGCCGTTTTCCAGCTTGAGCCAAAAGATATTCTCCAATAGATAACAAAATTATACCATTTGCCTCATCAAAAAAAAAAAAGAAAAGAAAAAAAACTAAAAGCAAAAACAACGTGGCGTCCTTCGATTGCCACTTGGACTCACTGTGAGGAACTGTAATCTACTAAATGCAGTGCATCTGTTCTTGATAATAGTGTTCAGCCGATTATCAGGGAAACATTATACAATATTAGCATGAAGGAGGATTTTCTCACTATTTGTGTCATAGTTTTAAAGATTGGTAGTATCCTTATCAGGTTCACAAGTGAGATACGTTTACTGATCACAGCAAAATGAATAAATGGCAATTGTTTAATACTAATAACGAGGACTCCGTTTTCTGGAATAGCGCTTTTACGAAGCTGTTTAGTTTTAAACTAAATTGATTTCCAGTGAAATTTTTTCCCTTCCAGAAGTGGCAGTCGATTTTGAAGATGGATTTTAGAATTATTAAATGGATGATAACTCTCGTAGTATCATCAACGTAAGTACAGCGTAATTTTTGACAATAAATGATTTTCCCTCTAATTCGTTAGTTGATATTCCCATACAAACTTTCCTGTATCCTAATTGTTGAGACGCCCTGTTTAGAAATCACTGAGCATTTTATTCCGTTTACTTAAAATGGTTTTTAATATCGAAAAGATTAATTGTTTGTCTTAACTCAACTTTCAGGATATACGAAACAACCCACGGTTAGTAAACGTTTCTCTTCTATTTAATTACCTGAATGACGTTTGATGATTATCAGAAAAAAGGGATTTTTTTTCTTTGTTATATATTTAATTCATTGTTTCATCAATCATTTGAAATGGTGGTGACTTAATTCCTTAAACCGTGATAAAGATAAGATTTAATCAACATCTTTAAGATGACAGAAAACTATTTACAACATTTAGACTTACTAATTTGAAGGTAATTATAACTATTTGCTTATTAGAGAAAACGTTTTGACCTCGATATTAAGATAGTTTCGAGAATCTTAAACTAAAATTAAACCGAAATTTCAGTTCTTTGATGTAGTCACTGTTGAACTCGAGCGTTTATGAAAATTTCGGCAAATTATGACAAACAATAAGTTTTGAACACTTTAATTTCTAAGCCGTAATGAAGGAAGCTGACTCAGTCTATTGCTTAACCATTTTGAGTACCTATCTGTGCCTTTGGACGGTCCGAATTGATAAGGACTGGCGAGGTCTTTTTTATTGTGTGCTACGTTTTATTTACCTAGGTTGTTCAGTGTCATGAACAAAGAAAGGTTTTTTTTTTCATTTCTTCTTCCTTGCATGATTCCTATCTAATTTTTTCTGATAATCGTTGCGATGACAGGACATGATTACTGCCATAGTTATCAAGTGATTAATGACAGGACTAGGGCTGCTGGTCTCGCAAGGGGCAACGTCCTTAGGTGCGATCAGCGAGATTTTCCAACCGCCAGATGGTATCGTTTTACTGGAGCGGCTGGCACGCAGATGCCGACAAAGTGTGTGCCCATTAACCGTTGTGGAACCCACGCACCAGGATGGCTCAGCACATCACATCCAACTAGAACTGGGCAAATCATCAATGGGAAAGCGTGCTTTCACTGGTCCGGAAACTGCTGCCGGTGGTCGGCAAATATCATGATCAAGAAATGCAATGGCTTCTACATTTATAAGCTTGGTAGAACACCATGTTGTTACCTTCGCTTTTGTGGGAATGGAGGCTTTGGTGAGTTACATCCAGTTTAAACTAAAGAAACCTACTATGCTACATTTCAAATAATTGATTAGCCATTTTTAAACAGCAAGAACGATTTATTATTATGATACATATAGATACACCTAGTTGGTTGTTATATACAACGCGAAAAGTCCAAATCCAGTTGCTCTTTTGAAAGGTTTGAAAATTATATTTTTCCAAACCTTCTTGCATACCCACTGCTCAAAATCATAATGGCCCCTAAATATGTTTCGAGAAAGGATGTTATTACCTAGTCACAAACGTGGCTGGAAAATAATGCAATCATAGTGATTATGAAACAAAGAAAATCGTGGATATTTTCATCTAATTCTGACAGGTCAATCGTGAATAGACCAATCGCAATCAAGTTCGAGTAAGAGAATTTATCATCGAGGCCACAAAGTGGATGTCTTTGCTGTTTCCCGTTCATTTTACTGACCATGCTGACGAATGATTGTTATCTTAAAACGAAATAACATGCTATAAATATTTCTGGTGCTCGATTTTCTCCAATTTCCGGGTAAGGTCCATAAGCACACTGCGCGGCGATTTCTTCCTCGGCCAATTGTAAGAATAAAATCCTTGAACATTCTAAATATATTTTTACCTTTACATGGCGTTTATACTCTTCTTCAGGAGACGATGGCTGCACTAACTACTTACAGTTAAACGATAGAACCAGAGCTGCTAGTGTTCCTCGGGGAAATATCCTTAAATGTGACCAATATGACATGCCCGGGGATCCAAAGTGGTACAGGTTCACTGGAGCATCAGGGCAAATGATGGCCACCTCCTGTGTTCCTAAGCATTACTGTGGAACGCATGCTCCGGGTTGGTTGAGTGGAGCTCACCCAACAAGTGTGGGGCAAATTGTCAACGCCAGAGTCTGTTTTCACTGGGGAGGAAGTTGCTGCAATTGGAACACTAATATCCAGATCAAAAAATGTAACGGGTTTTACGTTTACAAACTTCACAAGACCCCTGTCTGTTGGCTTCGCTACTGTGGAAATGCAGGATTCGGTGAGTCAAAGGCGGAATATTTCAAATAGAACTTTTCAAGGTTATTTTCTGTATATCGTCTTCATCAAATTTTCCAATTCATCTATGGTCCAGACGGAGAACTATAAAACAGTAAGAAAAGAACACAAAAACTACAATCTCAAGTACTTCTTATCTAAGTTTATAAAAACTGCATGGAGAAGTATAAATGTCTTGTAATTGACCTAGCAGTCACATTTTCTCTTTAATTAGATGTGTGCAAGGTAAGCAATCCTTGTAAGAATGGTGCCACATGTGTTCCCAAAAATGGTGGGTACACATGCAACTGCAAGTCAGGATTTCATGGTGTCAACTGCGAGCACGGTAAAACCTTTAATAAATTGCGATCAAATTCGAAAACCCCCGAGGGATACTTACCTTCACTAGAGCAAACCATTATAATTAAATTCCCCAACTACGCCCTCGGACACAAATAAAACACAATTCCCTTTTTTTGCACAGAGAGAAGTTTATTAAGAATACGAACCAACAGTGGACAAAAGCCAATGATATGCCTAATAGACTTCCCTGACACTCTATGACATCACACAAAATCACCCGGGGTGGGAGGGTGGGTGGGTGGAAAGAAAAACGAAACAATACACAATCTCCGGTAAGCGCTCAAAGTGAAAACTGACGCGAAGTGAAACACGAAACTCCTCGTGCTTGGTACTAGAAGGTGTGTGTTGCGCAATTCGTCCTTTTGAACACGTGCTTGTCTGTAGATGTCTTCTACAGTAGGTGATAGCTCAATAGGAAAGAAAAAATTCAGCATATATATTTCGTGGGGGAGTAAAGCTATGATGAAGTCGCTTACGCCATCACGTCTGGAACACTATTATACAACACGCACAGTCAAATTTTAAACAAGATCAAAGAGAAAATTAGCAGGAAATTACTGCCAACAATTTGTATAAATTATTAGATAGTCTCCCTGTACTTGAGAAATGTCAGGCGAACAGTGTTTTTAAAAAACAATTGCAATGGTAAAAATAGCAAAGCTTTCTTCTATCATACAGATGTAAACGAATGCAACACCCGACCCTGCCGTAACGGTGGAACGTGTGAGAACTTCCCAGGAAATTACAGATGCAAGTGCAAACCAGGATTTTTAGGGAATCACTGCGAGATCGGTTAGTTGATTTTGCGAATGTTGTTCAAAGTGTGTTTCTTATATAAATTTTTTAGCGATTAGCCAAAATTTCATACTGAATCTTTTCTAGATATATTTGAAAAGCTTATAGTGCATTTGCGACCCTCGCGAAGGCAATCAATGTCGAAACACACCTTTCCTGCAAATCTTATTTTCCGATAAATTTTCCCCACCACAAGCGTATGATGAATGCAGGCATTACCAAGTTCTCAGTGACAGACAGCGAGCTGCTGGAGTTCACAGGGGCAACATCCTTAAGTGTGACCAAAGGGACCTTGTAACACCCAAATGGTACAGGTTTACTGGAGCAGCTGGCACTCAGATGCCCACGTCATGTGTTGCGAAACATTACTGCGGAACTCATGCACCGGGCTGGTTAGCGGGTTCACATCCAACAAGAGTTGGTGAAGTTGTCGACCGTAAGGTTTGTTTCCACTGGGGTTCCAATTGCTGCAACTGGAATGCCTACATTCGGATAAAGAGGTGCAACGGGTTCTACGTGTACAAGTTGGCCCGGACTCCTGTGTGTTGGCTGCGGTATTGCGGGAATGCGGGTTTTGGTGAGTCATGTATAGCTCTATTCTTATACTTAGAAATGGTAACTTAACTATAGAACATTATTTCTAGAGTAATTTTGCAAGTTTGACTTTTTATTTGACACAAACGGGGTACGCATCCTGTGAGCAGCAACAATAGCTCGTCATTAAATTTTGATTGAAGTCATCTTTAGTACTTCCATGTCATAGAATAAAACCAGAAGTAAATGATCTCCTTTTGTTTACCAGATCCCTGTAGAACAAGCAGGCCTTGTAAAAATGGGGCGACATGTGTTAACCAGAATGGTGGCTATAAATGCTTGTGCAAGCCTGGGTACCAAGGGATAAACTGCGAGCAAGGTAAAAGACACGAGACATCGATTTTTTTAAAGAAACACTTTTATTGCAATCACTATATCTATAAGAGAATTTGGACAAGGAAACGTTTACAGTCATTGTGATCCGATTGTGACAATTTACTGGAATAGGAAAATTGGCCTTTAGTCACCTCGAACTGAAAATTGATACTTAATAAAACAAAATAAGGTATGAGGCTGTCTCTGAGTCATATATGTAACACTCATCGTTTTCAATTTTTAGATATCAATGAATGTCTTACGAGGCCTTGCCGCAATGGCGGGACTTGCGAGAACTTAGCGGGAAGCTACAGATGCAAATGTAAACCAGGATATCTAGGAAAACACTGCGAGATCGGTTTGTATTGTTCATTTGAGTGTAGACCTCCCTGTTTTTCATAAAACTCATCTTTATTTGACGTCTCTTAAGAGTCATTTGACATCTGCGTCGGGGTCGTCTTCGTTAAGTGTAAATGAATAAAGGGGTAAGGTCTAGAAAAATTGTGATGCTGCGTTGGTGGGGGAGTATGACAAGACAATTTTGGTTTTATCAACTGAGTTGATAATGTAAATTGACCGCCGTAAAGAGTTTCAAAGCTGATGTTAGCCCTTCGTCAGAGCTCTGACGTAGGGTTAATGCTTGGAAATGTCAGCTTTGACCAATTAACATTATTAGCTTAGTTAATGAAATCAAAAATTACATTAAGTATAATGTGGTTGAGATGAAAGTTATAAAGCGTAATTTCGTTGTGTTACGCCTTGCCTAATGAATAAATTTTCCTTGTTTTATCCTTTTTTCTGTTGGCCTGATCTCATTTAATGTTTTGTGACTTAGACGATGTCACTATTCGTTATTACAAAAAGCTTAAATCCCTTAGAGAATGAGTTTCTGCTATGCTTGCAAAATGTAGAAAGTCTGGTATAGGCAGTTGACAGTTTTGAGATATGGAATGTTTTCGGACTTTTATGTGCAGTTGTTCTGTTTTTTTGTAGTATTTGATGAATGCAGACACTATGAAGTCCTCAACGACAGAGAGCGCGCTGCAGGGCGTCACAGGGGTAACATCCTAAAGTGTGACCAGAGAGATCTTGTTACCCCTAAATGGTACAGGTTTACTGGAGCAGCTGGTGCTCAAATGCCAACGGCATGTGTTCCGAAACACTACTGCGGAACTCATGCACCAGGATGGTTGAGTGGCTCACATCCAACAAGAGTCGGGCAGGTTGTGAACGGGAAGGTGTGTTTCCACTGGGGCTCCAACTGTTGCAACTGGAATGCTGCCATTCAAATAAAGAAGTGCAACGGGTTTTACGTTTACAAACTTTCAAGGACGCCTGTATGTTGGCTGAGATACTGTGGAAATGCCGGCTTTGGTGAGTTGGGTATCGCCTATTTTTCTTTCTTTCTTTCTGTGGAAAGTAGGATCAGCGAATTCACTCTACGATTTTCAGCTTTCCGGAAAGATATATGCTGAATATGCTACATTTAAACCCCGTGGATAGTGTTAATGTCACGTTAACGGTTTTCATTTAATGTTATTTGTCACAAATGAAACCAAGAGAGGATAAAAATCTTCGGGAAGGCAGGGTTTTTGTAAGTCTTTAGTTTTATTCAACTTTCTTTTGTAGTAGTGTTAAAGGACAGAGGTATGTGATTGTGTGTCGTGATGGAGGCCTTTGCCCTTTAGATGACATGAGAGGTTATGAAAATAGGGTTCATACTGCATAGAAGTACAATATTTGTACGTTTCTATGTTTCTAATTGGGTTAACGCCTCGGCGTTATTATATATATGATTGTTGCTTTCTTTTAATCTTCATTAATCTCCGTATTATCATTTTGAATATAACTAGTATCAGTATTATCAATCCGATCGTAAATAGTATGGGTATTATTTTTCATTAAAAAATTTTTAAGACCCGTGCAAAGCTAGTAAGCCTTGTCAAAATGGCGCCACTTGTGTCAACCAGAATGGAGGCTACACTTGCCTCTGCAAGTCTGGGTACCAGGGAAAGACCTGCGAGCAAGGTGAGGTATCTAGGAGGTCATCCTTAAAAATCATTGAATTTAAAACTAAAAAGTAAAATGGTGTCGCGTATTCTTTGTCAAAGTTACTGCAATTGACTGCCGGTAGTTGGTCAGAAAAGAATGGAAAACTACCCCACGTGAACAAAAAAATAAAGTACCCTTTCAAATAATAACTGACATAAGGACATTGAAAGGAATTCATTTTATTCAAAATTCCAAATTTATAGTTTTGTATATCTGATCATGAACATATTAAACCAGATAATAATACTAAAGGAATTGAAGACATAGTCCTTTCGTGAATGTACAAAAGGCGAAAAAGCAAGCCTATAAAATTGAGGCTGGCAAGGTTCTTACTGTTTTGATACTATTATGTACAGATTTACATACAGAAATAAGGCTATCAGAATGGTAACAACAATGTTGATAGTAATAAATGATTACAATGATAATAAAAACAAAATCAAATGTATGTTTCGTTTGTCTTTAGATGTTAACGAATGTGTCACGAAACCTTGCCGTAACGGTGGAACTTGTGAGAATTTACAGGGTAGCTACAGATGTAAATGCAAAGCAGGATTTCTTGGCAAGCACTGCGAGATAGGTTTGTATGCTTGCCATTTGTTTTTTTCCTTTAGCGCTCATGTTGCTGTTTTCTTTGTTGTTACCGTTTTTCTTTCAAGCTTTTGCCTGTAAATAATTGAAATAACTGTTAAGACTTTTATGATATTAACTTTTCTGTTGAGCAGTTTCCTTACTGTTTATTTGTATTTTAGTTTAGTGAAAAAAGTTTTTTTAAAGTGTTTATGGTATTCTCTGAATCAAATATAATGTCTTAACTTGCGCACATCGGGAGAATACTGTAATCTTTTTATCTTATGTTGCAGTTTTCGATAATTGCAAACATTATGAAGTTCTAAGTGACAGAGAGCGGGCTGCTGGAGTTCACAGGGGCAATATCCTTAAGTGTGACCAGAAGGACCTTGTAACTCCCAAATGGTACAGGTTTACAGGTGCAGCTGGTGCGCAAATGCCAACGGCTTGTGTTCCAAAACATTACTGCGGAACACATGCGCCAGGATGGTTGAGTGGCTCACATCCAACAAGAGTCGGGCAGGTTGTGAACGGGAAGGTGTGTTTCCACTGGGGCTCCAATTGTTGCAACTGGAATGCAGCCATTCAAATAAAGAAATGCAACGGGTTTTACGTGTACAAGCTTTCGAAGACACCAGTATGTTGGCTGAGGTATTGCGGAAACGCAGGGTTTGGTAAGTCTATAGTTTTATTCAACTTTTTTTGTAATACAGTGACAGTATAGAGCTAGGTGGTTATGTCATGTTGGAGGCTTTTGACTTCTGCATTAAAAGAAAGGTTTTATTTTTTTTGAAAAGAGGGTAGCATAATGTTTTTAATGTCCATTTCTGTATATTTCTATTATTATAACAAAACTGTGGCATTTATAATAAGGTCCCGAAAAGGTTATTAAGGAGATTGTTGTTTTCTTTCTCTCTTCATTAACATTGCTATCAACATCTTAAAAACTATTGCTATTGAATAATCATTCTGATCATAAATACTTTTATCATAACTAGTATTATTACTTTTCAACACAAATTCTCTAAGATCCGTGCAAAGCTAGCAAGCCTTGTCAAAATGGCGCCACCTGTGTCAACCAGAATGGTGGGTACACTTGCCTCTGCAAGCCAGGGTACCAAGGAAAGAACTGCGAGCAAGGTGAGATATCTAGAGGATATCCCCAGAAATCATTGGATCTAAAACTAGATAGAAAAATTTGGCGCAAATATTTTGTTACCTGAACTTACTGTAATTGACTGCAGGTGTTTGTAGGAAAAGAATGGAAAACTACCCTAGGTAAACAAACAACGAAAAAAAGGAACCTTGTCAAATAATAACTGTCATTAGGACATCAAAAGAAGTTCATTTCATCAAAAACTCCAAATATAGAGTTTTGCATATCTGATCATAGACATATTAAATCAGATAATAATGAAGGAATTGAGGACGTAATACTTCCGTGTGACGTGAATGTACGGAAGGTGAAAAAGCAAGCCTGGCAAAATTGAGGTTGGCATGGTTCTTACTGTTTTGATACTACTATGTACAGATTTACATACAGAAATAAAGCTATCAGAATAGTAATGATAATGATAAAAGCAGTAAATAATAATGATGATAATGATAATAATAATGAAAGAAACAAAACAAATATGTTTGGTTTGCCTTCAGATGTTAACGAATGTGTCGCAAAACCTTGCCGTAACGGTGGAACTTGTGAGAATTTACAGGGTAGCTACAGATGCAAATGCAAAGCAGGCTTTCTTGGAAAGCGCTGCGAGATAGGTTTGTATGCCTGCCATTCTTTTTTCTTTAGTGTTGTCATTGTTGTTTTCTTGGTTATTGTTGTTATTGTTACCATTTTTATCTCAAGCTTTTGACTGTAAATTTTAAGTTATCCCTTTTACGACATTGACTATGTTAGTTTTTTCCTTCACGCAGTTTCTTTTCTGTGTATTTGGATTTTTGTTTGGAGACAAAATAATTTTTGCTTGTGATTATGATATTTTGTGAATCGAATGTAATGTCTTAACTAGCGCTCGGGCCGAACCGGGTGTATGGCGTAATCTTTTTATTTCGCTCATTTTGCAGTTTTCGATAGTTGCAAACATTATGAAGTTCTAAGTGACAGAGAGCGGGCTGCTGGAGTTCACAGGGGCAATATCCTTAAGTGTGACCAGAGGGATCTTGTTACCCCCAAATGGTACAGGTTTACAGGTGCAGCTGGTGTGCAGATGCCAACGGCTTGTGTTCCAAAACATTACTGCGGAACTCATGCGCCAGGATGGTTGAGTGGCTCACATCCAACAAGAGTCGGGCAGGTTGTGAACGGGAAGGTGTGTTTCCACTGGGGCTCCAATTGTTGCAACTGGAATGCAGCCATTCAGATAAAGAAATGCAATGGGTTTTACGTGTACAAGCTTTCGAGGACACCAGTATGTTGGCTGAGGTATTGCGGAAACGCAGGGTTTGGTACGTCTATAGTTTTTATTAACTTTTTTCTGGTAGTGTTACAGGATAGAGATATGCAATTATGTCGTGATGGAAGCTTTTGCCCTTTAGATGACTTGAGAGGTTATGAAAATAGGGTTCATACTGCATAGAGTTACAGCATCTCAGCGTTATTATTTATAAGATTGTTGTTTTCTATTAATCTTCATTATTCTCATTATTATCATTTTAAATATACCTATTATTAATATAATATTATTATTCTCATTATAAATACTATTGGTATTGTTTTTCATTACAAAATCTCTTAGACCCATGCAAAGCTAGTAAGCCTTGTCAAAACGGCGCCACCTGTGTAAACCAGAATGGTGGGTACACTTGCCTCTGCAAGCCTGGGTTCCAAGGAAAGAATTGCGAGCAAGGTGAGGTATTTGGGAGGATATCCTTAAAAACCATTGGATCTACAACTAGATTGAAAAATATTGGCGCCTATTCTTTGTTCACTGAACTTGCTGTAATTAACTGCCGGTGGTTTGTCAGAAAGAATGGAAAACTTCTCCACGTAAACAAAAAAAAATATACTTTGTCAAATAATAAAAACATGAGTTCGTTAAAGGAAGTTTATTTTTATTCCAAATTCCAAATTAAGAGTTTTGCATATCTAATCATGGACATATCAAACAATAATAAAGGAATGGAACATATAGTCCTTTAAGGTGAAGTGAATGTACGAAAGGCGAAAAGCAATCCTATAAAATAGAGGCTGGCCTGGTTTTTACTGTTTGATACTGTTACGTACATATTTACATACAGAAATGAGGTTATCGAAATATTTATTATGTTAATAGTAATACATGATTTTAATGACAACAGTGATAATAGAAACAAAAATATTTGTTTGGTTTGTCTTCAGATGTTAACGAATGTGTCGCAAAACCTTGCCGTAACGGTGCAACTTGTGAGAATTTAAAGGGTAGCTACAGATGCAAATGCAAAGCAGGATTTCTTGGCAAACACTGCGAGATAGGTTTGTATGCTTGCCATTTTTTTTCTTTAGCGTTGATGTTGCTGTTTCTTTTTTGTTGTTGTTGTTACCGTTTTTCTTTCAAGCTTTTTCCTGTAAATTTTAAGTTATACCTTTAACGAATTTTTAAATTTTTCCTTCAAGCAGTTTCATTTCTGTTTATTTGGATTTTTGTTTAGAAGCAAAAATATAGTTTTTTAATGTTTATGGTATTTTTCGAGTCGAATAAAATTTCTTAAGTGGCGCTAGGGACAAACTAGGAATATGCGTAATCTTTTTATTTCACTTACATTGCAGTTTTCGATAATTGCAAACATTACGAAGTTCTCAATGACAGAGAGCGGGCTGCTGGAGTTCACAGAGGCAATATCCTGAAGTGTGACCAGAAGGATCTGGTAACTCCCAAATGGTACAGGTTTACCGGATCAGCCGGCACTCAGATGCCAACGGCATGTGTTCCAAAACATTACTGCGGAACACATGCGCCAGGATGGTTAAGTGGCTCACACCCAACTAAAATCGGGCAGGTTGTGAATGGGAAAGTGTGTTTTCACTGGGGTTCCAACTGTTGCAACTGGAATGCAGCCATTCAGATAAAGAAATGCAATGGGTTTTATGTGTACAAGCTGACAAGGACGCCTGTTTGTTGGCTGAGGTATTGCGGAAATTCAGGATTTGGTAAGTTTAGAACTATCCTCCATCTTATTCAGAAAAAAATAAACGAAAGATTCATCTAAATGATATCTATATTCATATTTATCTCCACTTTTCACAGACCCATGTAAAGCAAGCAGGCCTTGCCTAAATGGAGCCACCTGTGTAAATAACCAGGATGGATACAAATGCCTCTGTAAGCCTGGCTATCAAGGGAAAAATTGCGAGCAAGGTTAGGAATACCATATTTCTGTCTTGTGAGTTTTCTTGCATGATTTGTTTCGTTTCGTCCTGTTTTTTCGTTTGTTTGTTTAATCGTCCAAACGGGGATCGTCACCATACTCATGCTGTACCTTGCTGAGGTGAAAACCTTTCGTATATTTTTCCAGATGTCAACGAATGCTTAACTAGGCCATGTCTCAACGGTGGAACATGTCAGAATTTACCAGGAAGTTACAAATGCAAATGCAAACCAGGATTCTTAGGAAGACGCTGCGAGACGGGTAACCTTAAAGGATATTTTTTTTTGAACCACTTGCCTTTTGAGTATTGCCTCCTCTGATTAAATGTTGGTGCAACCTCAGATTTACCAAATTCTGATTATTTAAATATTCTTTGTTAGAGTAGCAAATTGGATTAATCGCAAGTCGCACATAACCTTTGGAAAGACAATGATAGCTCATCAATGTCTCTAAAAATTTGTGCAATGTTCTTTTGCAGCCTTTAATCCATGCTTGCATTACGAGACCCTCAGTGACAAGGAAAGAGCGGCAAGTGTCCATAGAGGAAATATCTTGAAATGTGACCAGAGGGATTTAGTAACGCCAAAATGGTACAGATTTACAGGGGCAGCAGGCACTATGATGCCTACCTCCTGTGTTCCGAAGCAGTACTGCGGAACTCATGCACCGGGTTGGTTGAGCACTGCGCATCCATCGGTCGTTGGGCAAGTTGTCAGTGGAAAGGTGTGTTTCCACTGGGGGTCTAGATGTTGTAACTGGAACGCGAATATCCAGATAAAGAAATGCAACGGATTTTTTGTGTATAAGCTTGCAAGGACTCCGGTGTGTTATCTCCGCTACTGTGGTAATGCAGGATATGGTAAGATGTATTGATGAAATGCATAATTATGTCAGAGAGTGAAGCATATTAAGTTCAGTATATTTAGAATTCGTAAAGTTTGAGCTGACTGACCAAGATGAATGTTTTCTTGCTAGGCGAGTGTAAAATGAATAAACCATGCAAGAATGGGGCAACATGTATCCAGAAACCAGATGGGTATTCTTGCGTCTGTCCTTCAGGTTTCCAAGGAAAGCATTGCGAAAACGGTAAGTTAAAAAAAAAAAAAGAGAAACAGCGTTAGATTTACGATACTGGTAACATTGAAGCTTGACGAAGACCGGCTACATCACTGAACGGCTTTTTAAAATATGCTACGATTCTGTTGCTCCTAGCATTTAACTTTTTTAAAAACCGGCATCCCAAGTACGATGTGACTCAAATTAAAATAACAAAAAAAAAGAAAACGACAAAAAGTTGAATGTTATCACGTTTAGAAAAGTGTTATAAGTCGCTAGCGAGGTTTACTTCAATGAATGTTTATCACTACGTGAAGGTTACGTGTTCATGCGACATTTAGACACATTCTTTCATACATCAAGAATTCTTGCTATCGACAAGTTTCTATGGCCATTGAACTAAATCAGTGCGGCTAAGGCTGAAAAAATCAAAGGCTCAAATGAGTCTTTATTTTCCTTTGTCGCCCTACATTTGATGCATTAAGCTGAATTAGGCCATTCTTGCATTATTTAAAATGAATTACCGGTGATCCTAAATGTTGATAGCTTTGCCGTAAAAAGCTTAGCCATCAGGAAAAAATATTTTTGGGGTATGTATTCCAAGTTAAATTGTCATCAGTTCAAGGGAATTTTAAAATTTAGCCAGACTTTGTGAAGAATCTGATCAAATGTTCGTACCATCCCTCGGAAATCAACGCGTGTGTGGTACACAAGCCATGCAAAAATGGTGCAACATATATCAACACAATCCGAGAGCACCTTTGTCGTTGTTTCAGCGGATTCATGAGAAAAAATCGCACCCAGAATAAATATCGCTTTTGCCTTTAGGCCCGCAACGTACGTTTTCTAAATCGAAATCGGCCTAATCAGATAACCTTGAGTTAGCTAGATTTTCAAACTTCCTTGTGTACTTAAAAGGCACAATAAAGTTCCTCTTAGAGTTGAGACCATTTTTTCGTTTACCTTTCAGACATCAACGAGTGCCTAACAACAAAACCGTGCAAAAATGGCGCCACTTGTGTTAATAGCAATGGGGGATACAGGTGTCTTTGCGTCCCTGGATTTCAAGGGAAACATTGTGAGACAGGTGCAAAAAGTTCTCCAGAGTAAAATAAAGCGATCAAAACTGTACGCAGGTGTGGACGCAAAGAAATCGAAGCGTTTATGATAACACGAGAACAGCGTTTCGAAAACGTACTATGTGGACGGGGTCTCAGTCAATAAGTATTTTATCATATGACCACTGTCTAAGCTTTGAAATGTTCGAGTCAAAACAAGAAACTGGCAATTTATCGCAAAACATGACTTTTTTGAAAGGTTTTCCTCTTTTGTCACTCATACTTTGCAACGAAATTGTATATTGGGGTTGACGGCTTTTTCCGGAGCGACTAACCTCAACCTGTCAGGCCCTGCACACATCAGCCACCACAATGGTTTCTTATGGGATTGCGTGACAAGGGACGGACGGGTCATATGAGAATAATTCTTATAAGAAATTATCCATTCATTTTCATAATTAAACCTCCCATGTATCCTTCTTTTTTTATTTAGATGTGAATGAGTGTTTAATAAATGGCATATGTAAGAATGGAGGAACCTGTATCAATACTCACGGTGGATATCGATGTCAGTGTTTGAGTGGATACCAAGGGAAGCACTGTCAACAAGGTACAAAGAATCCTCTCAGAGTATCATCCTCTGACGAATGTTATGCCGGCTGTGTATCGAATCACATTAATGAATACTATAACCTATACGGTTGAGGAACATTTTTGCTTTCTCAGTGGAGTTACGTCTTTATTTGAGCATATACTTCGCTGACATAATTTTCTTCATTTAATAATCGTCTACACAAACGGAAGGTATCGTTGTCCCAAAGGGTTTGCTTAAAACCATTACAGACAAGAAAAGGATCATATTTGCTATTAGACACAGAAAGGGCACGTTTTCTGACCCATAACCAGCGAAATCAGGTAACCTGAAATTGGCTAGATTTTAAAACTATTTGTGTACTTAAAAGCACAAAAACGTTCCTTCAAGTGTTAAGGATTTTCTTTATATTGTTATCAACGATGCATATCATTCAAATTACGGGATGCGCAAAGTTGTCACAGTTTAAAGCTGTCTTTTTTCTTTCACCTTTCAGATATCAACGAGTGCCTAATAACAAAACCGTGCAAAAATGGCGCCACTTGCGTTAATAGCATTGGAGGATACGACTGTCTTTGTGTCCCTGGATTTCAAGGGAAGCATTGTGAAACAGGTACAAAAAGATTTGTATAATAAAATAAAGCGATCAAAACTGTATCATTCTGGCCTAGAATGCTGAAGGATCCGTTGCGACCCATTGCAAATAATACTTCTTATATAAGAAATCATCCACTCATTTTCATTAATGAACCTCACGTGTATCATTTTTTAAAATTAAATAGATGTGAATGAATGTTTAATAAATGGCATATGTAAGAATGGAGGAACTTGCGTCAATGTTAACGGTGGATACCGATGCCAGTGTTTGAGTGGATACCAAGGGAAGCACTGTGAACAAGGTAGAAATAATATTTTAAAGTTTACATATACTGACGACTTTTGAGCCGTTAAGTTCTTTGACAAGAAAGCGATCAATTTAGACTGTTTTAAATAACTGCTCGGGTTTTACCCTTAAGATGTGAACGAGTGCACAACGACAAGACCATGCAGAAATGGAGCCACCTGTGTGAACAAGAACGGTGGATATGATTGCTTATGTGTTCCTGGTTTCAAAGGAAAGAACTGTGAGATAGGTAAAGAACCTTTCTTAAAAATGATTTTCTTCATAAGTATTGTGACTGGAAACGTTATAGCAGTTTAGTTCGAAAATTAATTGTTTCTACGTTTATCTATTGATTTGTTTATGTCTGTATCTGTTTATCTGTTAACCAATTTATCAATGCTTTTATTTATACGATTATTACGTTTTTTTTTATAAGATGTCAATGAGTGCATCACTAGACCTTGTTTGAATGGTGGTACTTGTGCCAATCAGCATGGAAGCTACCAATGCGTTTGCCTGGCGGGATTTACCGGCAAGCACTGTGAAACCCGTAAGTGTTAATGTTATTCCTGTCCGGGAATAGAATCATTTTCGAGGTTGATTGTCGTCTTCAACCTATACCTGAATAAATAGATAATCAATTAGTGTTATTTTTTGGCAAATATTCTTATTTAGGAACAGGCACCAGCTCCTGAAATAAAAATACTTGCACGATGGTAAAATTTCGGGTAAGACAAAAGAAAGGAAAAGCAAACAAAGAAACGAACATTGGGAACAAACACGCAAAACCAATTAACATAAAGCGTAAAAAAAAAACAAAAAAGCCACAAACCATAAAAAAAAATAATAATTGATAAATTGATCTCATGGAGTATTGACTGAAGTGTGAAGGTGAGAAAGTGAAAATAAATTACTCAGCCCCTCCTCAATGGCCTTTGTTAAAAATTCGGTGTTGTTCCCATTCGCTCATTGATATGCCGCAAGAGCTTCAAGGTGCATAAATAAGTCCGAGTTGTTCACATGTATTCCTCAAGAACAAGTTGAAAACGTTCAATAATGATCTTTTTATAAAAATGAGTAGCTAAAATGTTCATGCTTAACTCTGTTTCATGATAATTAAGGATGAAAATCGCGTTAGGACTGTGCCCAAATTTTCCTGAGTGCACGTAGAGATGCATTTAGTTACTCTCTACGTCCATTTTCGTTAATATGATACAGGAGACCTTGCTCTCTTGGATGATGATAAATACTGATGTTTATAAAAATTAAAGCACCCATCTTTGTTTTCAAAAGAAATCGATGCATGTGCAAGTTACTCGGTACTAGATGAGAAGGACCGTGCAGCTGGAAACGATGCAAACAAGTATACGTGCGACCAAAGGGATATTGCAACACCGGCGTGGTACAGGTTTTCTGGAGACGCTGGCGATAAAATGGCGGACTCCTGTGTTCCTCAGTTGCACTGCGGAACACATGCGCCGGGGTGGTTAAATGGTGATCATCCCGTAAATGAAGGGGAGGTCGTCGAGAGGCAAGCTTGCTTTCACTGGGGATCCAGTTGCTGTAAATGGTCTACAAAAATAAAGATAAAAAAGTGTAAGGGATTCTTTGTCTATGAGCTTCAAAGAACTCCAGCCTGTCATCTACGTTACTGTGGAAACTCTGGTTTACGTAAGTGACAAAAACTACCAATATTTCCATTGAATTTGTATGTTAGACCTGATAAAAGGACAATCGAAGTCTCCAGTGGAATATATTTTGGGGTCCTAAGATAATATCGGTCTGTTTCATGGTGCCTGGTTTATTTCTTTTTTTAAGTATGAATTGATATAGTCATTGTCTGTCTGTCTGTCTGCTTTTTATCTGTCCGTTGATCTTTCTATCTTTCTCTACAAATGAATCCATCATCCACATCTTTTTCTCTGAACTTTAGCCGTGAACGAGTGTGCCGTTACAAAACCATGCAAGAACGGAGCAACCTGTGTTGATTTGAAGCGTGGATACCAATGCCTCTGCGCCCCAGGGTTTACAGGAAAAGATTGTGAACAAGGTATTCTAATGCAGATGTGTAACAAAAAATGGAACGAGTTGAAATTAATGAATGAATGCCTTCATGACAAAGATTGATTGAATAAATGAATGAATACCGATTCATGCATCAACAAAGGAAATTCTAACGCGGATGACTTTCCTACCTGAGTTAATATGCGCTTTTACTATGTTAAAAGAAGTTTGTGATTGTTCCATCAGATGTAGATGAGTGCTTGATAAGCGGTCTGTGTAAGAATGGTGCCACATGTGAAAACAGCGTGGGTGGATATCAGTGTAAATGCCCCAGTGGATTCAAAGGAAAACGCTGTGATGAAGGTAACAAAAAAGATAAAAAATAAAAAGAATTGAAAGAGAAATGTTACTTTATTCATTTCAAGCATTCTTGTAGGGAGTTTGGTTAGAAGAAATTGCAGTTTTTTTTATGAGGATTTTTACCGGTTCCCGTAATTGAGAGGATACTGGATTATTGTTGCAAATATCCGTCAACCTCAGTAACAGTCGCCTCCAGCAATCCTTGTGAAACCCAAAGCGCCATAGAGATGACTGAGAGACGGACCGACAAAGCAACAGCAACAATAACAACAACGAAAACAACAAAACATGTATAGACTTCAACTCAAGCGATAAATTTTATCATATATCTTTATTCTTTAGCCTTTGAAAAAATATATTTATTTATTTTAATACAATTCTGAAGTTTCAACGCATGAGTGTGACTCCTTATATCTTTACATGTTTACCTCTACGCCCTTCAGATTTCGGTGAGTGTTCAGCTAATACTAAATGTAAAAATGGCGCAACGTGTGTCAATACCATTGGCGCATATCAGTGCCTTTGTTCACGAGGATATCAAGGGAAACATTGCGATCAAGGTCTCAATTTTGTAAACATCCTCGTTGAATTGACTCGATTTTCGTCATTGTATCCAAGTAATATTGCAGATATTTAAGAAGGTTTTTTTTTTAAATTTATTTTTTATTTCCTATAGCTTGGCTGATTTCCCTGTTTTATTGATCGTTTGTTTTTCTCTGACAGATATTGATGAATGTGCGAATAGTCCATGCCTGCATGGAGGTACGTGCACAAACAAGCCAGGCGGCTACGACTGTAAATGCCTCATTGGCTACCAGGGCCAACACTGCGAAAAGGGTGAGTGGATCACTCTAGAATCTGCTCAGCGAGGTTCTAATCACTAACATTTTTAGGAAAAATTGAAAAAAATTTCAGGAGGATGATTTGCACAGTAGCTATTACAGCATTCAAATCTTATCATATTACAAGAGATGTGTTCCAAGCGCTTAGCTTTTTGCTTTTAGTTAAATCAAAATACTGTCTTTACTTCTAGCCTCGAGATGAAATTTTCGAAGTCTTATGACACATATCAAGGGCTCAAAGCAATTTTAAGGGGCTCGCGCACGTAGAAATATGAGTGATAACATATAATTGAACGAGGTTCTAGGTCTAAATCATGTTCCCTTTATTTAGGTTCATGATATTCTAAACTTTTTATAGCCACCAGCTACAGGATGTGATTACCTACGGACCAGTCATTTTCCGATCGCCTGGGGGGATATTAGGTGTATCACATAGTTTACAAGGGGAACATAACAAGGATCAGCCGTCGTTAAAAGATTATGTATATATATATATATATATATATATATATATATATATATATATATATATATATAGGGTTTACTGGGGGAAAGGATTATTAGAATTTTACAGAGCCCTACGGTGGGATAAGGTAAATTTCATCCTTACTTACATCATTTCATCAGATGTGGACGAATGCGCGAACAGTCCATGTAAAAATGGTGGAAGTTGCATGAACCTTAAAGGGAGTTATAGATGCGACTGCATTAAAGGATTTACAGGCAAACACTGCAAACAAGGTTTGCTAGCGATTTTTTTATAAATTTTTTGCATTTGATATACACTCGACCGTCCTACAGACTACAGTGACTTAACAGCTAGATGTATGCACATGTATGTTTATGTATTTCACAGACATAAATGAATGCATAACGATTCAACCATGCAAGAACGGTGCAACGTGTATAAACACTATCGGTTCCTATATGTGTCGCTGTGACAGTGGATACCAAGGATTACTCTGCGATCAAGGTATACGTATATCGACCCTTTACTAAAACCAGCATTGAAAATTCAGTGTAATGAAACCTAAGCAAATGCCTCCCATGAAGTCTCAAGTAACTGTTTGGGACACAGAAAAAAATTGAGAAGACCTCAGATATAAGTTATGGCACAGTACTAGCTTGCACAATCAACGCGTCACGATGTCACGATGCTTCATCTGATCTTTTTTTCCATCCCCAAAATAAATAGCCTTAGTAAACACAGTGTAAATGCTTTTATATATTGTTTTAGACATCGACGAGTGTTCTTCATCAAGTCTGTGCAGAAATGGCGCCACCTGTACAAACACGATCGGAGGATACAAGTGTTCTTGTGCCAGTGGATTCGAGGGGGAACATTGTGATCAAGGTAAAGCGTATCAATAAAACAATATCCTTTAGTTATAATTAATAAGGGCAATTTAATAGTGGCAAATAGAAAAGGAATTTATCACAGATCTGAATTAGCAGTCACGTGATGGAGCTTTTCCACTTTGTTTACCTCTATTACCCATTTTAGATATTGATGAATGTAAGAGAGGTCCTTGTGTGAACAGTGGAACTTGTTATAACAAGCCTGGCAGCTTTGAATGCAAGTGTCCTGATGGATATGATGGCGAGCGCTGCGAAAATGGTATATAAAGCACAAAGTTAGATATCAAATTATAAAGCGTTTGTTAGTTGACGCTGAAATGAGCTTTAGTCTGAGCCTCTATGGCATAAAAAATAGCTGTTTGCCTGTTGATTCTGCGTAAATGAGATAATTCGCTCATAACCTTTCAACTACAATTATATAACGTTTGTCGAGAAATTATAAAGCTGGTATGATGCGTGAAACATTTTCTGTTATGAATACCTTGTCTGATAATTAAAGAGATTTTGCCTATCTGATCACCAGTCGGCGTGCACGTAATTTCGTGAACATATTGAGGTCTCTAGGTCTTTCGGATAATCTTCTTTTCTAGATATCGACGAATGCGCTACCAAAGACCCATGCAAAAATGGTGCCACTTGCATAAACATAATTGGCGGATTCCAGTGTTCATGCGCAAGTGGATTCGATGGGAAATATTGCGAACAAGGTACCTTTCTTTTATTGTGCAAATTTGTATTAAGAATTAGGCATTCCGCTAGACATTTCTTGAGTATTTATGATGAGTACTCTCTGCGGGAAACGTTGTAATATATTAATTTAGCAAATACCACACAGCTAAATAGTGCTTTTCGCGCGCGCTGATTTTCTGGTTTGAAAGTTTTAAATAAACTATTTATTTTGTTTGTTTCTGTGTGATACATACTGAAGAGGAAAAATAGTCACCTCCACTTCGGGAAATTATCGTTAAGTACTGTCTGTAGCAGCGTCTACATAGGCCCGCGCACATTTTACAAGCTCAATCGTTTAGCGTCGCTTATAAATTATATTTTGCTAAATGAGATTTCAAAGCAGTTTCAATGATATCACATTTCACAACGCTCAAGAAAGGAGAGATGCCAGTTACATGTAATAGTTGACCACCAATTTTCCACACTGGTTAGTTTTATTTGTAGACGAAACGTCCACTTTAATATTTTGCGATTTTAAGAGTCTTTACGATGTTTCGTTTTCCAGATAAGGATGAGTGCAAGGTGAACCCATGCAAGAATAGTGCTACGTGTATCAATCTGATTGGTGGGTTTGAATGCAAATGTTTACCAGGCTTTCAAGGGGATGTATGCGAGCAGGGTACGTATCTCTTGATGAATTTGGGTATACCAGTAAAATAATTCTTTAAATCAAATATGTCTACACACTTAATTTGTGAGAGAGATGAGGATTAAATTGCAACACTGAATTCAATGACAGATATTGACGAGTGTGTGGGAGACCCTTGTCTGAACTCAGGAAACTGTTCAAACACTCCTGGAAGTTACAAATGCGAGTGTATCAAGGGATTTGAGGGCAAAAACTGCGAAAAGGGTATGTATCTCTGTTAACTTTGTGAGTTATAGCTCAGTGAACGTCGTTTTGCGGAGGAGTAGCGGATGAACCAAGAAAACCCCCTTTAACCCTGTATCACGTCACAGTTAGGTTTTGAGATCACAATTTGCTAATCATCCCAACGAAAAGCTCTCCTTTGACACAATGACAAAAGGAGTGATGTATAATCCAAATTAAAAAGGCCGAATTGTACTTGAGTTACTGGAGTACTGTGAGGTGGCATCATTGTTACACTGTCATTAAATACTTTACTCAGACACCTCGCCTTACTTTTGTCCCGCTAAAATGAAAGAAACTGCTCATACCAGACAATAAATAAAAGTGAAAGTTAAACTAGCTGAAATAATAAGTATTTCGTGTAATGTTTTATTTTAAGTGCTTTTTTTTCAAAATGCAGTACGATTATGAACTTCGTCCTAATTTTCGCATGAGCGTAATATGTTAGCTTGATAGGGTAAACAAGGAGACAGTTCATCAAGAGTCAGGTCGAAATTATCACACAGTTGAAGTGTTCCATGGACAGAATGGCTTCATCGGCTAGCTATGATTATTACAGAGAGAAATATAAAGAATGTTAGCCTACGATCGATCGTTAACACACACTCTTCATTTCATTTAGATGTAGATGAATGTAAAGGGAGCAACCCCTGTCAAAACGGTGGCACGTGTCAAAATAAGAAAGGCACTTATCATTGCTCATGTCCAGATGGAATTACAGGCTTTAACTGCGAGATAAGTATGTCATAAACATGAAAAGGAAATGTCTGAATTAAGTATAATCTATCAGAGTGAGCAGCCTCGATGATAACAAATATTTCACTTCTGTGTTTTTTGAACTCCCATGTGACTGTTTTTGTTCCTCATGCTAAAAGGTCTTTTTCCTCCTCCTCTGGTTCATCTTCTTCTTTCTTCTTCTAATTATCCTTCTTCATCTGCATCTTATTCCTTTTCTTCATTTTCTTCATCTTCATCTTCATTATCATCTTCTTTTTTATTCTTCTTCCTCTTATCCTTCTTCATATTCGTCTTCTTCTTATTCGTCTTTTTCTCCATTATCATCATCTTCTTCTTCTTTTTTTTCATCATCTTCTTTTTCTTCGTCCTCCTCGTCGTCTTTTTATTTCAACATTAATTCTTATTTGAAAATCACCCTCTATGTGCTTACCATGGCCACGTGTTTCTTTCAGAAATATCCTTCAAAGAGCTTGGTTGTTTTAGAGACAGGTCCAATGACCGCACAATGACTTTGCTAAAGAACCTACGAAAGTACATTGACTGGCGCGACATGTCCAAGACCGTTAAAAACTGTTCTGAGATTGCAAGAGGCACACCGGGGTAAGTAGCTTTGGCAAAATGTGATCAGTTTACTGGCCTTAATTAGTTTACTCAGTAGCAAGTTACATAGCATATTCATTGCTGTTATTTATTTTACATTGTGTTTGTTACGGTATAAGCTAACCGACAGAAAAATACTGCAATCCTACAAACTCGACAACTTTATTAAACAAAGAGTAATAATCTTTATGAGGAGCGACTCCTAAAGGCAGTACAATATTTATCCTCGATAAATTACTTAAGCCCACTACAGTCTATATCTTAGCTCAGCACTATACCAAACTCACAGTTTCCTCCAACGTTTCTTGAAATTAGCAATCTTCCACTATAGCTTACCCTCATGGTATAACTTTCTACACAGTCGGTCACTCCTGACAACAACAACTACTACTACTGCATACCTGAGTCCTGATATACATTCACAAAGTGTGCTGGAACATTCCAGAAGCTTACAAAAGAACAATATAGAAGTATTACGAGATAAATGTGTGAAAGCCGTTCTATGGTACGCATGTCAGCATGACAAAGCAGTCTTGAGATTTCGAGAAGCTTTTATGTACAACAATAATTACTCATAACATGTTATAAAACTTGTACCTCCAAATGGTGGAAGGAAGGCTACTTCATAGAACATTTACTTGAGCATCCAGGGTACATTGCATTCACGGTTTACATAAATTATTGACCTTTTTTTTTTCGTGTATTCTGTTCATAGGGTTTACTACTTTGCGATTCAATATTACGGAGAGTGTTTCGGTGCGCCAGAGGGTACCAAGTATGATAAATTTGGCCGAGCATCCAACTGCTGGTCCGGTGTAGGAGGAGCTAACAGCAACTTCGTTTACACGCTATATTAAAGCTATTGAGAGGTTGAGAGGTAAGATCATTTTATTTAAAACCATCAATTGTAGACGAAATTTACGGTGTTTCTGTGGCCGAAGCCTTTTGTCTTACTCAGGGCGATCAATGATTGAAATATCTTTTATACATACACACCAGATATGGAACCGAACAACAAAAACAGGAATTTCAGTAAGGGCAGAGAGATATGTTTCGAATTAAAAAAGACACGTTCTGAAAACTACCGATTTACTATTTACTGTTCAATATAACAGTTTGTACTCACCTGCCATACATTATTAGTGCAGTATGTGACTAAAGAGTTTTTAAATCAGGTTTCTAACGAAGGATTGTAACAGAGAATTGCGTAATCTTATGAGGGACCCTAAGACAACATTATCCAGATTTCTTCCGTGGAGCGTGATAGTTCGGGTGAAAGTAAACCTTGTTCAAAAACTAACGAATTAGAGCAGATTCCTCTCAACATATTCTGATAAGGACAAAAAACCGTACACGTGACTTAGTTACTAAACCAGTATAATCCACTGCAAACCGACACATCGTCACATCACAAAATTAAAAATGCGAAGTGGCTGAGTAATCAATTTCCACGACTTAACAAATTTCCCTGACAAATAACGTTGGGTCAAGTTGTCGAAATTTCTGCGTCACCGACAACATTCCTTTTCAGTCTTACCCTAAAACAAGTAGGTACAAACCCTTGATTTCTTGATTTCTAGTTGACTCGCAGTTCTATTTCTAAAACTTATTGCAGAGGTGAGCTAATGAAGGGCTTATCTACGGATGGTACTTAACTTGAAGCTTATGAAAACTGTGATGAACAAAGCTGTCAACAATAAAAGAGAGGTTTAAACCGAAGAGGTCTTAATGTCGTATATTTTAACTAGTCATGAGGACTTTTTCGAAATTCCCATCTGATCGCAACCCATTTAGCTAGTGGTCGTGAAAATCAGCAAAATGGCAATAAAAAGTGTTTGCTTTTTATGAACTTTCGATTTCGCAGGGAACAAAAGAAAAACGATCGCTAAAGTTGCTTGTATCTCGGTAAGAGAATCCAGAGAAGTCGATCCCACAAAATATACTACAATTCATTACACTGCTTGTCAAGAAATTTACCTTGTAAACCAGATGGACCGCCTCCTGAAACACAAGCGATCACACACATTTATGGTCAGCCCTGAGGCAAATGATTTATTGATTTTCTTTCATGTCCTTACTTACTTTACTAAAACTTAAAGCTGCTCGGAGGGCCTTAGTTTACAAAGCGGTAAACATAGTTAGTGAACGATGTTCCCACAGCGTCATTAAAGCAGTTGGTAGCTTTTCCCTCTCTAGCGTAAGTATCTCCAGCCTCAGGACCTGACCAGCACTCCGCATAATACTGGACAGAAAAATATGCATACCTGAAAAGCAAAAAAAACAAAAAACAAAACATACTTTCCTGCTTATTTTTGTATTCCTTATCTCTCATGTGGGACCTGCTAGATAAGTGGTTATTGTTTTGGATACCAGATGAAGAGGCCTAGGTCCATGCCTCGACACTACATTTGTGTTCCCTTATTCACTTCAGGGTAAACCGCCATTGCTAAGAAATGCTGACAAAATAACGGGGATAGCCTTGCAGCTGATTCGTCAATGTCCGTACATATAGGTTGGTAGTTGACTTGTAAGTATTTCTGACATCCCATCTAAAAGGCCAAAACTTTTGGGAGAATGTAGTTCACAACCAGTGCAAGAAGAAATACTGTGCGATTTCAAATTAGATTGTAGATCATCTCCGCGGGAAGATCCAAATCAAGGCTTTTGTATGAACATTGATTTCTTTTATTCCTATTCGTTAATGTAGCTTTTGATATGAAACACATTACCCTTTTTTCTGCGCCAGTTTTGCGCACTTGTCGACTGTAAGCTCCACGTGTTTCCAATTTATTTCTTTGCGGAAGCTCCCAAGAAATTCGGGTAAGGGGCGCGGCGCCACTCCTTTATCATGGAAACAGCCCACAGGTTCATAAGAGTTCCCTACAGAAGAAAGAAAGGTTGCAGCGATCATCAGTATTGTTTCAATTATTATGTATTCATGCCGCTTTCTTTTAACCGGAAAATGTGAGGATAGGTCTACCATACTTACTGATGGCGGGTGTTGACATGGATTGGGCTGAAAAATAAAAAAAATATAAATTTTATAAAAAATAACTCCATCAAAAGTCTTTATTCCTGTAAACATTTTAACCATACAAAATGTAAATATTTACTCTTTAGACGTTAATGTTATACCGGAATTTTTACTAGTCGGGGAATTTTCTTCTAACCGCAAAACGTAATCAAGTTGAATCGATTTTTTTCATGTCCGCCTGTGGATCGGAATTTATCTTCTTATTTAACTCCTCTACATTTGTTAGGTTTTGATTGTCGATTTAAACTTTTACACACTGCTGGAACTATTTTATCCTTAATTCACTTATACATAGAGCAAAAAGCATGGGATCAAAGTTTCCTAACCTTGATCGCAGTAGAAACCTTCGTATCCAGATGGGCAGATGCATCTATACCCAGCAATGTCATTTATGCATGTTGCACCATTTTGGCAATAGTGACTGGCACATTCATCAATGTCTGAAAAAAGAGAAAATACCTACTCTATTAAACAATGAAAACCTCAATATTCGCGGTTGTGTTGTAAATAAATTAAAGGGCCTACTCGAAACTTAGGGAATCGAGCGAAAAAAGAACATTTTCCATCGTATGCTTTGTTTGTCGGCCAGTCTGCTCATAACTAAATGGAGCTTTCAGTTTTACTCACCATTTTCACAATCTTTCCCTTCCCATCCAGGCATGCATTCACAAACGTAACCGCCATTTGTATTGCGACAGGTACCTCCATTTTGACACGGGAAAAGTTCGCATTCGTCCACATCTTAAAAGGACAAGAGCTTCTTTACATTGATCATGAATTGACCTAAGAGTTTGTACTTAGTATGGACTTCTCTTCGTGAAGGCATCTGTTTGGCCGGCCAGATTAAAATTTTAATGTCCTTACATAAAATTCGAGTAACTACTCAGTGGTTGGAACCTTAGACATTAGTAAAGGAAATAAGTGAAGTTATTTTTTTGGAAAGTATTTTGACCACAAATATGGCTCGATGGAATAGCTAATATACGTGACTTCACTCAATCCATTCCAACAAATCTTAAAAGCATTAGCTTAAAAGAGGATCTCACCGCGACTTCCCCATTGGAAAGCTATAAAGAAATATCACTGAGCTGTAAACCAACCCTTGTCGCATGCTTTTCCGGTCCACTGGTTTGTACACTGACAGGTGAAATCTCCTTGGGTGTTGGTGCAAACTCCATCATTTTGGCAGGGGTTGTTCATGCATTCATCAATGTCTGAATAAGTGTAAGATGTTTATATATCGAAGTCAGATCAGACTTAAGGGCCTTTTTTAATATCTTTATTCCGAGGCTTAACAAAAACGATAAATGGCGATAGGAACTAACGATAGTAGGGTCTTTCTGTCTTGTTACGTTTGTAAAGACATTTAGTTACAAATACGAACGAAAATGTAATACATCTTGCACAAAATGAAAGTTTAAATGTACTATATTTTGTTATTCATATTTTACTTATGTCCTTAAAGTTAGATTAATAACCTACCTTGATCACATTTGGCTCCTGTCCATCCAGCGGCGCATTGACAAGTGTATCCCCCATGTGAGTTGACGCAACTGGCTCCGTTTCCACAAGGTTTGTTATTACATTCATTCACATCTGGAGATGAAATAATATAAGAATTGCAATCTTTTAAGGATCCAGAGAAAAGCCTCAATATTGCTTTTTCATGGATAGGTGACAATGTTGTTGAAAGAGAATTTTAATTAGCCTGGAAATATTACCTTTTGAGCCTAAACAATTGTCCTCGCCTCGTGACATTACAAACCACTATACCTTGCTCGCAATCTTTTCCAGTCCATTGTGGGACACAGCTGCATGTATATCCTCCTTGGTCGCTTCTGCACGTTCCTCCATTCTTACAAGGATTTTTTTTACATAAGTCAAGCACTGAAAGGGGAATATCATACCTCGTGATGAATGAGATGTAGCAAAGCCTTCGCTAACCGCGTGTGAGCTAATCGATGGAACAGATGTGGCCTAAATATACGGAGCATCAGCCAACCCCTTCAGCCCCTCCCTTAAGAAACTTCTCGTCTGCGATCAGCTCAGAATTGACTTTACTTGATAGCTACGCCTTTTCTTATAAAGTCAAAAAAGATAACGAAAGCAAAAGTTAAAAATAAACAGTTACCAAAAACAAACAAGCAAAGACACGAAAAAAAAACAAACAATGAAACAAAGAGATGCAAGATACTAAGGTTTAGTGCAGAATTTATCAGTCTGCTTCCAATTACGTATACGTTTACCTTCCTCGCAATCTTCTCCTCCATGTCCATTATCGCATTTACACTTGTAACTTCCATCCTTGTTCTCACAGGTTCCTCCGTTTTGACAAGGATTGTTGTCGCATTCATTTATATCTATGGAGAAAAAGGGAAGGTGGAAATTTCAATAAAGGTCATTTACCATTTTATTCCCAAACTTCACTAACCTTGGTCGCAGAAATCTCCACCCCACCCAGCAGCGCACATACAGCTGAATCCCCCGTCCTTATTGACGCACGAGCCATCGTTTTTACAAGGGCCGTTTAAACATTCATCGAGATCTTGAGTGAAGAAAATTTAATTTTCAGTGGATTTATTTGACGAAAAAAGAACAAAAAAAAAAAAAACTAAGAAAGAAAGAAACGCTACCGATCACTCACCTACTTCGCAGTTCTTCCCAGTCCACCCTTTCGGACAGTTACATACATGTGAACCGATCTGATTTGTACATTGTCCGCCATTTTGACACGGAGTTTTGTCACACTCGTTGACGTCTTTTAAAATAAAAAAAAAAGAAAAACGGTTAAAATGGCATTGAATGCTATTAAAATGCCTAACTGCTCGATTCGCTCGGCAAAATAACAGAAATGCTGTGTTTTAAAGAGTTTTCAGTAGATTAAGGCCGCATAAAAGCAGTCGGTTTTTGGATTTAACTGGTTTAAAATAAAGGAAAGAAAGAAAACTTATTAGATCTTACCTTCATCGCAATGTTCCCCTGTCCACCCAGTTACACAGCTACAACGGTATCCTCCAGGTTTGTTTGTACAAGCTCCTCCGTTCTTACAAGGATTGCTAAGGCATTCATCCAAATCTGAATCAATAATCATGATCACACCAAGTTACTTTAGCAATATTCTAGGAGTCGTCGACGGCCGCTAAGATCGTAGTTGTTTTTTCCTCAGCCTAAGTCTCTCGTAAGTTGATCATCTATTCGGCACGCTTGAAAGAGATTTGTCATTTTGGAACCCGTGAAGGATGATAAAGCTTTGTCAGAGTAACACAGTTCAGAATTAAAAGTAATGGAGGGTCGACTTTCCATTTGTCAATTGATACAAACACACTTGAGAGGAAATGCAATGTTTGCCGGTAAAACCTAAAGCGCATGTGCACTTGTATGATCCTAACAGATTGAAACATTTTCCATTGTTCTTACACGGATTTCCACTTGCAAGTGAACACTCATCAATATCTGGATGTGAAATGAATAAAGGAAATAATGTAAAGCTAGATATTTTCTTGCATAATAAATCAATAATTTGCACGTCTTTGAAAGTTCTTTCGTTCTTCCATCCCTTTAAAAATTGGAATTTGTCGCACGAGTCTACATGGAACCTATTTCCCCACGCATAACAGTCCCATCTGTACTCTTGTTCAATCTCTTTTTTTGTTGAACTCACCTTGGTCACAATTCTTTCCTGTCC